GCCCTTCTTCTTCTTCTTTCTTTTCCCAAAGGAAACACTCAGGGGAAATCCAGACGAACAAATGTACATAGGCCACTCATTCTTCAAACTCCCTACCAACCAAGAATAGAAAACAATGTTCCCGAAAGACGAAAACCTTGAATTGTATCAAAGTCCCGGAAATGCCATTGTTATTGATAGTACGACCTCGAGTTGGGTGGAAAACATAGATTTGGGGAAGAGCAAATAATTCTTTGAATCACCAGGGATCTCCCTCCCTCCCTCTCTTTCTTCCACTTTCATTCACCAGTTCCCCTTCCCAAGGGCTGTGATGACAGAAGAGGACACAATGGTGATGGGTCCTCCAGAATCTTGCCTAGGACAAGATGATGCCCGGCTTGTTACTCCCGAGAGCAAGAGGCTGCAAGAACGGCGGTCTAGCCGGGGACATTATCCTCTTCCCTTCCTCAATCTTGATGAGCCCCTCACTCCTCCTCAAAGCCCACCCTCGGAAGCTGAATCTGCTATGGCCTGGAAATCTTCCAGCAGCAGGAGATGGAGCGAAGGCCTGTTTCGGTCCAGCCTGGAAACCACCCACATGAGGACACACTTCGCAAGACTCTACAACTCCGCCATCAAGAAAGACTAAGCCAGTGAGTGGGTTTGCTGCTCGTTGAGCTCAACTAGGATTTGTTAAGTGTGAATTGCTATCCCAAAAGGCAACTGGGTTTGCTTGGTGTTGTTTTTTCTTTGAAAAAGTTTAGCTTTGCATCCAAGAAGCTTCTTTGCTTCTGTTCTGACTTAGGCTTCCCCAAACCACAGTGCAGACTCCTGAGGAAAAAAACCATTTTTATTAAGTTACTGTGGATTCCTCTCATTCACATCCAGCAAAGTCTTTCAAGGGTGAATATACAGTCACAGACCTTATCTGGCTTGGAGAGCTGCCAGGCCGGTATCTTCAACACTTGGCAAGGAGCCTTGGAGAGTCACGGACCAATGAAGCAAACTAATTGTCTCCTGCAAACTCCACTCCCCTTTTGCTCCTCTTTTATTCCATATGGGAGGGGTCATTTATCATCCACCTGTGGCTTTACTCCCAAGTCGACCCCTGCTCTTTAGCTGTTCCCTTTGTTTGGCAACTCTGCGCATGTGCACACTGAGAACAGGCTCCAGCTGTTTGTCTGCCTCATTGATGTCTGACTCTGAAGGCAGCTGATA